TCTGTTTCTCTGCCCACCCGCGAATTCCACGAGACTGGACTTCATCTAATCGTTCCGCTCGAATTCTAGGATTTATTTGTCTGCGACAATGGCCACGGGCCTGCGAGCGAACCGAAGCAGCCAGCCTCCAGCTATCGATCGCTTAAAAGATCCTACGGGAGAAGGACGCGTCGGAAACGTGTACTTACTGCTCCAATCTGCAGAGCAGGAATCGACCGTTTTCGGTCGTTGGACCTGGACCCTCTCGCGTACACCTCGATTAATTAACCGTTTAGCGTTTGAGCATCGCTCCGAGGATAATGAGAATCTGTTATTGGTTAACGGAACGATTTGCTCCTTGGATGGCATCGCTCGAGAAAAGATACGACCTATTGTAAACGACGGACTGTGGGTTTTATGTATTTTCCATTTCACCTTCCTCCAAATGAGCTCTCTATGAATAGTATAATTGATCTGTTAGGTGTAATTATTGGAAGTGGAATTTGAAAGACTTTGATCTGTATGAAGATCCACGTTTTAGGCGTGTTGAAAGCGAATAGATAGTTACTTTGTTAATAATTTCTTAAGGATACGAACTGAAAATACCGAAGGCCGTTAAATTAGCCCTCAACCCCTAAATCCAATATCTAATGTATTCCGCAAGAGAAAAAGTACGGCCTACGTGCTACGGAGATACCCGACGGCCGGAGAGTGGATAGCTGACCCTCGAACGGGTCAGTGAATGCTAATTCCACGACCCCCTTCCTCTCGCCGGTAACCGCAATGTGCATCTCCTTCAGGTTATACCGAAACCGGTCCAAAAAATTCATCCCTGTAGAAGGCATCGCGGAAAATCACTGCATCTACGTTTCCATAATACTTGGCGTGTTTCAGTCTTATACGTCATATTCAATGTCATCCTTCTGTGATGCATTACAGATTGTGAGTTTTAGGCCAACTGTTTGGTACGTCGTACAAGGATTGTTATATCGCGAAACCTCTTGCAGAATCCTGTAATCGGTGAACATTGAATTAACCCTTTGCACTCGGAAGTATTTTGCTGGATATGTTTAACATTTTCTAACTAGACAAAGATGATGTTTTTTTAGAGGAACTCAAAAAGAAGTCACGAGTAAATTGAGAAACAAAGCTTTTTTACCCCAATATTTCAAATTTTCTAATTTTACTGGAGTGCAAAGGGTTAACATTCCAATTGCAATTAATTGAACATTGTTAAAGTTATCCTCATGTCCTACAGACTCGGAGGACTATATAATTATTAATCCTTCACAATTCGTTTCTGTAAAATTATAACGAGCGTGATGGTCTCAACTTGTAACCGGTAGCGACAATGCTAACTGCAACAGGGTGAAACGCATCGATCACTCGGAACAGCCGCAACGTCTCGCAAAGATCGTCTTTCGAATTAAAGTTCCCAAGGACTGACTCCTGTTAAATCCAATATAATTTCTTCAGCGCCACGGGCGCGCGAAAGTTAGTGTACGCCGGGCCTTCGATTAATTAAAAGCGACTCCGTGCCGTTACAGTGATAATTCTACTCCTGTGTATAGCTCCGCATGTATTTCCGTCTATGTGCTCAGGCATGTGTGTATGTGCGTGTACATATACACGCGTCATTGTAACTACATAAGCAGTCGAGTGTTCCATGCGCTTTTGATTCACCGATATCCTGAATGTGTGCCAGTCTCTGTTCGTGTGATCCGATCGACCGGTGAAATTTCACCGCGTTCGGGTTTATTAATATTCGTTTAATGTAGCAACGACGATTATCGGCGGTACGTGAACTTTCAACTTTACCCGTGAACAGGATGTCCCAAAGTATGGGGTCCGGATACAACGAAGAACTACACTTCGTTGACAAACTTTATAATGACAGTTAAACTGTTTTTTGTTGTTTCGTATTTGTAGGAACAAAAGGTTTTAAATTTCTTTTGAAAATACAGATTGTAACTTAGAAGAAACAAAAGACTTTAATGACTAGATTGCGAATCGTATGCGTTAATTATCTGTGTGTTTGGTGATTTTATTGTAAAAGTATAAGTTCATGAAGGAACCTTAGTCACTGTTTGTAGGTTTTTCTTACAATTCTGTATTCTATCATCTTTTGCAATTTTGAAACGACCGGTACATAGTTACCCACGAAGTTATTACATTCCCAGCCAGTTCTCTACGGAGTAGCGTTCCATTCTTTGAAAGTTAGTTAACCGGCGGCGTCTGCGGCTCTTTTCTTCCATCGCGCCTATACTCTGTATTCTCGCGGTAGACGTGGTCGTTAATGATACGTGGTTCGTGGTATTCGCATCTCATTCAGGATCATCCTACGAATCTCTTTAGCTACCATTTAATTACTCAGTGTCAGCTACGCTTGAAAATTCTGTACCGTGACGGATAAGGATGAAGAGATACCATGGAAACATTAAATCCGGTTTTTTTAATTGTATCAAATTTACAAAATTATGCGAGAGTAACGTATGCCGACATATTTTATGTCAAATATATCGTTCCTTTGAATAATTGTACAATATATTTGTAGCTTTCCTCTTGATACAAATATATTGACAATAACGAGAAACTTTATAGTTGAATTTGCTGAAAGCGTTTAGATTCATTAATATTATAACAGTAAGAACTGACTGGATGTTATTTATATTTTTGTCACTACTGTTATTTAACATGATTAAATGCGCTTACAAAAAAATAAGTCTCAGACATATAGAAAAAAATAAAATAGGAAAATAATGAACGGTTGTATTTGTTTTGACTGTAGTACAGAGAAAATATGCGAACAGATATTGTTAACAAAACACGATAACAACCTGTTAAAGCGAGATGAACATATCCTTGATCGTTCTGTTTATAAGTAACAGGATAATATATAAGTATACATTTGGTTAATGCCAGTGATTTACATATCTTACAGTCTCCTATCATGCTATCTTCATAACCAGTACATTCTTTTAAATACATTAAATAATATACATATAAAAGAATGAACTCGTTACGTAGTTTTATCATAATAAACAATATCCTCATAATTTCAAACGATTCTCGCTATCACAGCCAAGTCATGTAAACGTTGTGCCAGCTGCAGGCAGTCAGGGGCATCATCATGGAAACGTGACAACGGCCGTTAATGCCATGGTGATTTCCAGATGGTAAAATTCACCGATAAACCAACCCCTACAATCAGTAAGACAAGGACGGAGAATTTTTTTTATTTTTTTGAAAGAGGCTTAGAATCTTTTATGGTCTATTGCCCAGTGTACGTGGTTACAATAACTGATTTACTAACTTATACTATTTTTAGTGGTATTTTGTTTCTCTTAGTTGACAATTTCAGTGGCACACGACAGGTTCGTCATCTAACAGTGAATAGAATGACTTATTTTTCTAGAATTCGGTTATGGGAAAGATAAGCACAGGGGATTTTCCTGGAACACATTAGCATCGCCATCTAGCGATGAGTCGTTAGCTGAGTTTCTCCCTATCCCCATAATGAGTAAGGCAAGTACAAATTTAGCACTTCCCATGTCACCTACTTGGAAGAAGCATC